GTACTCAAGTTACCACTAAGAGTAAAACATTTACCACAAGTTCCACATGAATATGGTTTCTCACCTGTGTGAGTTCTCCTGTGTTTAGTCAAGGTACTACTGACAGTAAAACATTTACCACAAGCTTCACATGGGTATGGTTTCTCCCCTGTGTGAGTTCTCATGTGAATGGTTAAAAACCAATTGCGACTGAAACATTTCCCACAGATTTTACAAGTAAATGATCTCTCATCTCTATGAGCCCTCTTGTGTCTTTTTATTTTTTGACCTTCTCTGTGATATTTGGTTTGTTGACATATTTTATTTTGTGTGAGTTCTTTATTGATGTTTAATTCAGAAATTTCATTTCTGCATCCATGCTGATTTTGATCCTCAGCTTCTGTAGAACACTGACACAAGGGCTGGTTTCTGTTTGGTTCTGGTTCATGGCAGTCTGTTTCTGCAGAAGGAGAAGTCACCATGAAGGTAACATTTTCATGGTTCAGAATAAACGGCACTTCATGCTGATGGATACAGAGTTCCTGTTGTTTCTCTCCGATCATCAGTAAAGGATCTGGTTCCTTCTGGTTTGAACTGGAACTGGAAGTGGTCTCCTGGTTAGAGAGTTGCTGGTCAGTCAGAACCTTCTCCTTTTTACAGACATGTGGAAGTTCTGAGCAGGATAAAAGAAAAAAGAAAACACATTGTTGCAACAATAAAATATGATGAATCTAAAGATGTTCAGAAAATAATAAACCCTCAAATTTTTTTACTTGCAGGGAAAAATATGATCATCCACTGGATTGGAAGACCGGGGTGGCGGTCGCTCAATTATAAAGGGGGACCTTTTAAAATGACCAGGAACCTTAATTTACAATTAATTAAATAAAAATTTCTGCAAAGGGTACATTACACAGGTCATCGGACGTTCAGAATGGAGTTTGCGCCATCTGACACCTGTGCAGAAAGCACACACAACACTCCTGACATTTATATCCACACACTGTGGTCCTGTCCACCTGTTCAGGGATTTTGGTGCGGAGCATGTGAAAGTCTGTCAAAGTGTCTGAAATGTGATTTCCAACCACCCACTCGTGTTGTTTGCTAGGAAACCTGTATGATGTCCCAATTGAAACCAGGTTGGTTAACGTGGTTCTGACTGACATATGCATCACTAAGAAAACTATCCTCATAAACAGGAAAAATAAAGATAGTCTTTGCATTAACCAGTATCTTTTGTTAGATCATATTACGTTTGAGACAGCCTCTACCTCAACTTCAAACAAATTTCTCTGGGCTCCTCTGTTCGGTTCCACACGGTTTTGCATAGTGATGATGGAGGGTCACTGATATTGTCCTGCAGGGTGCCGTGGTTGATGTGAGGGAGATTCTGAGTTTGGAGCATCCGGAGGTTCTCATGATAAGGGCTTGGGGTGAAGTGGCTTTGGGTGTGGGGGTGGTCGTCCCCGAATGGGAATCTGTGCTAGGCCTGGAGGATTGGATCCTGGCTTATATGCTGCCAGTAGAAGGCGGGAGCATGCGGTGGTGTCTGGCCCTGGCTCAGGGGCCTCCGGTGAACCCTGGTTTATTCTGAACTGGCAGGAACACTTCCATTCCACTGTAACATGATGAAGGAGCTATTCCTCAAGGTTATTTATCCTCTAACCACAGTTCCCTTTGACACAGCGCCAGAGTGCATGAAACAGCCTCAAGGTTGCTCACAGTGGACATAAATGGATTCCTTTACTCCTCTTTCAAACTATCTGTCCTCTCTGTCCAAAATGTGAACGTTGGCATCCTCGAAAGAGTGACCTTTGTCCTTTAGATGCAAATGGACTGCTGAGACCAACTCGTCCATTACTACAATCCGCCTCGTGCTCTCAGGTCTGAAGATAAGCTCCTCCTAGCTCTTCCAAACGCACGTCTGAAAAGCCGTGGAGAAAGGGCTTTCTCTGTCTGTGCTCCCAAGCTGTGGAATGCATTACCACTACTAGTGAGGCAAGCACCAACAATTAGCATTTTTAAATCTCGCATGAAAACTCACTACTTCAACCTTGCATATAATACATAGTCATGGACCACTTTCAACATCTGCATTCTTTCTACAATAGAATGCACTATAATTAACATCTGTATTACTGTGGTTCTTTCATATGTTTTTTTATCTGTTGTTTCACATTCCTTTTGTGTTTTTAGTGTTTTACGACTGTTAGTTCTAGTATTTTCTTGTTTTCATTTTTTTTCTTATAAACTATGCTTTAAATGTCATTCTGTACGTGTTAATTAACTGTAATCTTTTAATGTACAGCGCCTTGTCTGGTTGTAATGCCATGTTGAATGCGCTTTATAAATAAAATGGTAATGGTAATGGTAAGATCATCAGGGGGACTTTTGTTCCCTCTTCGGGGGGAAACTCCCACTGGGTTTAAATCTGGGACTCTCCACCATTTGATCTTAGAACTGAAGAAGCCTCTCGGATGAGAGGTGAAATGTCTTCAAGCAACTCAAAGAAGTCCAGACGCTTTTCTTTCAAAGCTCATTAGACTACAATGACCTGGATGACTGAGAACCTTCACAGACATTCACTTCTAAACTGTTTACTTTCCAGAAATGAAGACAGAAGATGAAGACTCTTCTCTTTTCTTTTATCAGATCAAAGAACTCTATTTTCAATCAAGCTAATCAAAACAATTGTTAGTCAATAATACAATGTGACCGATCTGTGAAATCACAATATTATGATTAATATGTTTTTAATAAGTAATGTGACTTATTCTAGTCACTAGACACACTGACACACTAAGGTAAATAATCACATGACACATTGCTGTTGCTGATCCAATCAGAACCTTCCTATTCTGAAGCGTGGCAGTCTCTATGGTGTTTATTAAATCTGTCAGCTTTGATTCGTCCAGAATCAAAAACATCCAGATTAATAAAACAGTTCCAACGCAATCTTAAGTTCAGTATTCAAGATCTCTTCTCAAGATCCCATGAAGTTCACCGCGTGTTAAGTGAAGTATGGACAGGCCATCTATACTTTTCTTTTTAAGCTGAGAACCATTGAAGCTGGGAAAATTCTGTTGTTTTTACCAACAAGCAACGGTTCCTTGAAAATAAAGCTGAACTCGCTGACCCAAGGAGGGTCTCTTTTTGACGCTGTGAAACACCTGTCGCTTTTTACCTGGAGACTAACCAAAGACTGGTTTGTCGTGCTATGACACTGTACCATTGGCTCCAGTACCGAAAGGAGGGTCCGTGGACCTGGCATCCGGATCTGTACGGAGGTCTCACTGAGGGTATGTGGATGCGACACAATGGCGTCTCATGTGTTTATGACTACGAGTCTCAAACTCTAATCAGTTAGGAGCAAAACATCTCCCACTCAAACTTTGCATCTCCGGATACGAAGGTTCTGAATTTGACATAATTCACACACACCAACCACCTCACACTTCATTCCAACAGAACATCCATCATTAGAGAGTTAGTCTTGTTAAATTGTTTAAAAATCATTTAGTAATACATTTCCTTAAAGTCTCTCTCTTCTCTTGTCTCTCAGTTAATGCAAAGTGTTATTAGAAAGTCCCTGTAATAAAAAGATCCAGTCTGCTGATTTAAATAACCCAGTGTCCATAAGATGGGATTCATACTAGATATGGATTTTTAATGTCTTATGGTCCTTAATTAAATGTAATCAAATCTGTCATTATACCACCAAAGGGGAGGGGGATGTACAGGAGGGGGAGGACCAAATTTTATCTCTGTGTCTTATGTCTTACGTAGACTGGAAGTTGACCAAATGCGGGGATGGGAGTAGATATTCTGCTGGGGTGGGGCTGAGTTGGTGGCCCCGGGCTCCGTGGCATTTTGCAATGCTGCTGCTTTGGGCCTGGGCAAGGCGGGCTGGGGTCTCCATGCCATGGGTGGATTTTGGGAACGGGAGTGAGCCAGCGGGTGGAGCTGACTCCCTGGAGGGCTCAGGCTACCAACTATTCATCCCCATCCTTGGGCATTTTCCTCCTCCTGCTCCTTCACTTCACCAAAAAAACATGTACGTAGGACCTTAAGGTGTGGGTAAGTCATGGGGTGCGAGTATGGTTCCCATTTTCACAGTTCCATGGCAGCATGCATCCTAATTATGTTTGCACATTAAACACCTCCACCAATAACATTCCACGCAAATGCACACTTATGTTTACTCAATGTACTAAAATTCTGCTTACAATAATGACCTACACAGAACCCAACTAATGCTGCTAAATCATAAATGCTGCTACTCTGTGTATATATTTGTAAATATCACTGTTTATTTTACATTAATTTTATTCTGTATTATTTTCCTGTAGTCTTTTACAATTTGCACCAAAGGGAGTGGCACTCCAGTTTCGCTGTACCTTGTACAACAAGAATCAAGGCTATTATATTCTATTCTACTTAAGGCCTTGGGGGTGAGTTTTTAACCGTGCACTTTTCAGTGATATTTTGCAGGGATATTGTGGTTTTGTTGTATTTTTGTGCATCCCCTTTTCTCTCGCTTTCTGCAGGTCTAGAAGCACATTCTTGGTCATCATTTATTGTTTTTCTTTTTGTGACACCCACAATTTATAGTTCCTGGTCCGTTGAAGTTCCAGGTCTGAGGTTGGCAAGGCTGAGTCGAGCCAGCATTGTAACCGAGCCCCAGATTGGCTAGGAGATCTAGTCACTGGTTGTTCCAGAGTTTTCTGCCTGCTACTTAACTGCCTGCAGCCATTTTCTGGTTCAGAGACTGACAAAAAGCCATACAACTGAGCAGACTTTCTGCTGAGATGTGTTTCTGTGTAGCATACAGATCACCTTTTGTAGTGACCTGCTCTGACATTTCCATAATTTTTATTGCTACTGATCTATTGGAATAATTTAAAAAAATATCATCCACGCAAACCCTTTCCTACCTTGAGTTTTAGACAGTCACTCATAGAAAAAAAAATAAAAAAGAAGATATGCCAGACAAAAATCATCAGAATATTATTAAGGATCAT